ATATACCCATTCTTGCCACAGGATTGGTTGCCTTATATGATGTGTGGTCAGTTGGCATTGAGATAAGTGGTTGCTTGGACAGTAGCTAATGTCTTGAAAAAATTGGCTTTCCACTGTTGATGGAAGAAGTTTGAAAGTTCGCAACTTGCATTTCCACTACAGTTGTCTTTCTTTTACAGGGTGACTGTCCCGGGTAACGCCACCGATAATTGCATATGTATGTTTTGATTAGAAAAGTCATCCAATTGTAAGAGCACCCACATATTTGTTCCCATTCAAGAATTTCTAGCTTAACAGCCAGCTGTCTCCGTGTATCACAAGCTGATGGTCATTTTTGCAGATATAAAATTCCCTTCCAAAACAGCTAATGCAGATGTTGCAAGTACGTGTTTGAATTCTGAAAGTTCAGGCATCTAGCTCAGTTCACTTTGATGTTCTCTTATTCCATTTAAAACCAAATATATCTTATCACTTTCAGAATGCAATCTATCCCCTGCGATAAACTCACGTGCAACGCCATCCAATTGAATCAAGCTAAAACCAGCAATCTTCGTTACCACCCTATTACTGCTCAATGATCTCCTGATATTCATTACATCTTCCCATCGTTCTGCATTAGCATAAACATTAGCCAAAATTGAATAAACCCCACCATCATCGGGTTTCAACTCCATCAAGTGCTTCGCTGCTTTCTCTGCAATCTCAACATCCCCGTGAATTCGACATCCTCCCAGCAAACCACTCCACACAGACATATCATCTCCTCTGGGCATATCCTTTATCATTTCCATCACTTTTTTAATCAACCCAGCCCGCCCAAGCAAATCAGCCATACACCCGTAATGCTTTGGCTCTCGAGGGACTCCATAAACAGATTCCATCACATCAAAAAGCTTCCTTGCTTCATCTACGAGACCACTATGACTGCACCCTACCGAAACTCCTAAAATGCTAATCCCATCTGGTTTTACCCCAGCCTCTATCATTCGCGAGAAGTACTCCAACAATAACTCACCATACCCATGCATTGCAAGGCCAACAAGCATTGCATTCCAAGTAAACAGATTTTTGTCTGAACTCGAGTCAAATATCTTTAAAGCAACGTCAACGCACCCGCATTTCGCATAGAAATCAACCAACCCAGTTGACAAAAAGGTATCCACTTTCATCGCGTTACTTTCAATATAATCATGAATTTTCTTTCCCTTTTCAAGTTCTCCTAGCTGTGCACAAGCAGAAAGCGTTGAGACCAATGCAACGTTATCAGGCCTAATCTCTAAATCCACCATAAAATCAAACAATTCAATAGCCTCCTCACAATAATCTCCTTTTGCACACCCAGCTATAATCGTATTCCAAGAAACAGAATTCCTCACAGGCATTAAATCAAACAACTCCCTAGCTTTCACAACATCACCAGCCTTAACGAACCCATCAATCAACACATTATAAGAAACCACATCTCGTTGAGGACTTTCATCGAATACCTTGCAAGCATCATTTGACATATCAGAAACCATATAACCATGAATAAGAGAATTCATGACATACAAATCCGACAGGAACCCAAATTTCAGAACTTGAGAATGAAGACAACGCGCTAAAAAAACCCCGCCAAGCTGCGCGCAGGCTTTGAGGGTAAAAGGGAAAGAATGAGAATCAAGAGGGACAGAAAGACGGCGCATTTGAGTAAAGAAATGGAGGGCAGGGACAGGGAGAGAGAGGAGAGTGTGGACTCTAATGATAGTATTGTAACAAAATGTAGATGGGTTTTGTATAGAATTGAATATAGATTTTGCGTAGCCTAGTAGAGAAGTGGAGGATTTGGCTTTGGTGGTGAGAGTGTAGAGGAATTTGGTTAAAAGGGAATGAGAAGAGTGGAAAGAAAGTGGTGTGTTTGTGATGGTGTAAGCATGGAGTTGGTGGAGCTGTGAGATTGTTTTGCATTGTTTGATTAATTTGATGATTATTGAGTGATAATTTTGTGGTGTTATGTGGTTGCTGCTGCTGCTGATTAACATCCAGTTTTTAGAGTGTTGAGAATTGGTCTCTTCTTCTCACTGCCCCTTGCACTCTGTTTTTAGTTTTTACATGCAAAAAATAGGCAAATAGGCTACGCTTGATGGTATGGCAGTCGGCATGCATACGCGTAGAAAAAATGCAGTAGGGTCACTGTTGTTCACGTATATGAAGCAGAAATCTTTCCATTTCAGTATCATCATAATATTTCTCATTTGTCTGAAAGGGGAAAAAGAAGCTATAAGTTGCAGAAAAGGCCATCTTACTTGTACATAAAAAGAAGAGCTTATCCATGCTCTCCTCAATCCAAGGGTACTGTCGATTGTTTGAAAGAGGCAAAGAGAAGAAACATATTAAAATATATCCACACTCATTACCACTTCTCATCAGTATTAGCTTTTGTCTTTTTGACTATTCTCCATGCACAGTGTTTCCACATTTAGCTTCGAAACTTCTCCTACTTGACATGGATTAGTGCAATTTGACGCACAGATTCTCACATCCAAATACAAAAATGGGGTAATAAGTGGACGGTGCAAGGCCCTTCTTCCTTGTAAAAAGCAGAGGTATATTGTCTCTTTTGTTGCCATGAACAACTTTAACCACCTTTCATTTGTTTACAATTTTCTTCCATCTTTGATGGCTTAGCCCTACACCTGTCTTCTAACTTTTTCTCTGGCACTCTCCAATTTATTATCCATCTCTCTGTCTTTTCTCCACGTGGAATCCCTCAGCAGTGTAATCTACATAAAAGAAGAATAATGAGATGGTCCTTAGTGGGATAAGCATGTCTCATTTACAGAATGATGCCTCGTGGGACCAGTTTTTCAAGTTTTAATTTTCTTTGTTGATATGTTCTCTTTGGTTTTATGTTCGGAAATTTAGGTAAAGTATGGATTAAAGAAAGATTTAAGTGTGTTTACTTTCACTGTTGTTTCTTGGGTCCAAGAGGCTTATATACTGGGAATGTTAGATAGACTGAACCAAGGCAAAATCCAAAGTCCTCGGGTTTCTTTCCGTCTGAACTAATTGCTTTCCAGCACCAAACCATGCCGAGAAAGAAGAGGAAGAAGATGGTGCTAAGAATCCCAAGTGTTGGATAATGTAACTACCCTCTTCTTCCTTCACTGGATGCAAGGGGACACAAGGCAAGTCATCGAGGCGAAGGGAAGGTCATGCCTTTCTTCTGGGTTTTCTTAGTTCTTTTGTGTTCATGCTATCCTTGGCATAAACTGCTTATGTTTTCAACCAAGATTCCTGTACTGGTAGGTTAAAGTTGTGCCAAGCTGTACTTGTTATTGTAAAATGTGACTCCTTCCATGATGCTAGTATGAGTTTTCTACGTACTTGATGCTATTATTAGTTTCTTTCCGCTTTAATCAGATGCACAAAATCTTTGAGTTCTGTAGATTCACCACAGATTCCCTTCTTGTTCAATCACAAAACAATCTCCAGCTCTGACCATAGCGAATATGGCAACAGAGTAAATCCCTCGTATCCATCGAGACATGAAAATACTCCCCTCCTTTGATTTCCTGTAATTCAAACTTCGCTGGTTCACACACAGAAAAGCACATAAGGGGCATGGAATTGAAGGGCATGTTAAGAAATGAACAGCTCAATCCTCGGGCATGAATAATCAGCCTACAGACTCAATAACACAAGGGCATCACCAGTACCGGATCACCTGCCCTAACAAGGACACGTTGATCAAGCAATGGAGTAGAAACCAGCCTTGTTGCACCTTGAGTTAGATTAAAAAAAAAATTAATATAAAAAAATCCAAGAATTATTAACTTATTTTTAAAAAAATTAATAATAATTATGAACTTAGAATTTATATTGGATAACATGTTTTTTTTATTATCAATACAGCTATATATTTTATGGTATTTTTTAAAATATTATGATGTTAATATATTAGATTGAATCAAGTTATATAATCATAATAATTTTTATAAAAAATAAATTAAAATTAATTATAAAAATTAATTCCTAATCAATATATTATTAAAGGATAAAATAAAAAAAAATTCAATAACTTAGGTAATGTGGTTAGGATAATCTAATAAAAAATAAAAAAATTTATAAAACTTAATTTTCAATCAAATCAATGTTAAAAGATGAAATAAAAAAACAAATCAATTAAAAAAATCAATTAAAGTCAACTTGAACTAATATGTCAAACGAGCGTCCTATCATGAAATTAAAATAACCTCATAAAAAATAAAAAAAATTATGACACTTTATTTCTAATAAATCCAAAGTTAAAAGTTGAAATCAAGAAAAAAAAATTCATGAGACCAAGATACTCCACAAAAAAAGATAGTTTTAAATAGAAAATTGTAAAACTCAATTTTTAAATAAACTAATATTAAATGATAAAATTAAAAAAAAAACTATTTTTTAAAAAAAATTTGAGTTGTTAAAGAGTAAAATTGAACAAAAATATTTAATTAAAAGAGGACAAAAAAATGAATCAATTCACAATTTAACATGGCAAACTCATAACCAAGTTATGAAATCGATATAACCTTGTAGAAAGCAAACAAAAAAAATAAAAAAACTCAATTAAAAAGGAATCCTGAAAAGACAAACATACTCAACTCGAATCAATCTATTAAACTTGTAAATTGGATCATGAGATCAAGAAAATTTATAAAAAGCAAATGTAAAAAAATTATAAAATTCAATTTTCAACTAACTTAGTATTGAAGGATGAAATTGAAAAAAAATATAAAAAATAATAGAAAAATAACTGAGGTTAACGTGTTAAACCTGCAACTTGGATTAAGAGATCAAAGTAAATTTATAGAAAGTAAATCGAAATAAATTATAAAATCTAATTAAAAAAACAAAAAATAAATAGAATAAAATTAAAACTTGCCAAACTTATAAAAAAATTATAAAATTGAGATAATTTATAAAAAATAAATTAAAAAAATTATGAATTACAATTTATTATGACCCCACTATTAAATGATAAAAAAAACTACTTAGAAAAAGAAACAGAACAGGCACTCGTAATCGTCCCTAACCTCTATCTCTAACCTATTCCCTTTCCTCTGTCCTTTTACCCTTTGAACAGCAAGCCGGAACTGGATTACATTTCAATAGAGAAAGCTATCAATAGTCACATTATGACGGGAACAGATGGAAAGTTCGCCCTCCAGTTCTATTCCTTTGGATGAGACGACGCTGAGCAATTGATAAAGAGCAAGGGATGCTAGCACTCTTTTACTCATATTCCTTGCTTCAGTTGGTTCAGGAAGCTTTGGCATCGAGACGCATTACGATAGCTATAGCTAGGCCGGGTGGGATTCTCTATCGGATGGTTATTCATCAAGTGGATCCTTTGCCCCTTACCTCAGTAGCTGGGAAGGCAGGCCCTTAGCTTCAACTAGTTCAGTTTGAGTTCAGGCTTCAACTAGTTCAGTGTGAGTTCAGGAGTAGTTGCATTGTTAGTGGGTAGAAAATCAGTAATGCTTTAATTTATTTGTTCATTTTCAAAGAATCCTTGTTTGTGTTCCTTTATCTTTCTAAACCGCTCTCGCTAGCAAGGAATCTAGCTCAGACCATTATTAAAAAAATAACTGAGTCCACTATTTAATTTGTTATACTCATGACCTAAAACACGATATTAGGATAAATTTATGTTCAGCATCAATACCTCCTAAAATCCTAGCGATCAACCCTTCCATCACAATTTGCATCACAAACCTCCAACAACTCTTTGGCATGTTTATAACCAGCAGGAA